GAATGCTAGTATTTCAAAATGTCTACTCTTAATGGAACTAATTACTGAGATGTTATTTTTGTCAGAACAATCTCCCTTTTTAGCCTATATCTTTGCTGTAAGCTTCAGTGTTTTTCAGTACTGACCCAATCCACCCAATTCAGTACTGGCCCAACAGGTGCATTAAAAAGCCCCTGCATTTTGTTGTGTTTTGACACTTGTCTTCAGTGCCTATGTCCAGTCAGCTATTTTGAGCATTGCGACTTCTAATACGCTAACTTTTTGTGTAGACCTTTTCTTTTGGAATTTGACTTAGCTCCATTACTGGACTGCTGGATTATGTTCATAGTGGGATACTTCATCCAATTCCATATTTTACTCCCTAGTGCATTCTTCTGTGAGCTGTCTTTCAGACGACTGTTGCTTCAAGAAAAAGTTCATATCATATCCTTGGGATTATCTTAAAGAAAATGCAAACAGAAATCTAAAACCCTCAGAGCAAGACAAACTGTATTATTAATCTGTTTGTGTCATTAGAGGAAGGAGACTTATGTTTTTGTTCCAGACTTGAAAGGGATGAATCCTTTCACTGACCACCTAAAACACAGAATGTACCAGTGTCTGTGATTAGATTGTCAAGTGTTGTTTTGGCGTTTGCTATGGGTGCAAGCTATGTTTAATTAAACTAGTTTTAGCTGCTCTTTAAGTGACTGTATAGTAACAGTAATTACTGAATTCTTAACAATGATACACCAGTAGCTGTTAGAAGCAGCCCCATGAAACAGGTCTTTTTTTCTTGAACCATCTGGGAATATACCAGTTAATTTGTTTTTATTAATGTTAGCACAGCAAATAATCATCTTTCTACTGCCAGAAGTCAGGGAGGACTCCTATCAAGGGAACAACTTGTCCAACTTGTTCACTTGTGCTCACAGCAGCAGACTTTGTTGTGCGTGCAAGGCAGAAACATGTTTTTTTAACTATCAGTCTAAGCATCATTTGCACAGGCCCATTTTAGGACAACACCCCACCCCTCAAATAGAGGTTATTCCTTTTGATTTGTAGGGTTGAATTTTCTAAGGTGGACTGTAGGAGCCAATTTACAGTGTATTCAGTAGGAAAAGTACTAAATCTGTCCCAGAGGCATTTACCAGAAAATTATGTCAAGTTACAGAGAAACCAGACTCGGTGAGGAAGTATGAGAATGTTGTGAATGTTTATAAAACCATGTAATCCATGAAATCTTTCATTGTTTGCCTAGGGAAATAGGTGATCACTGGCATCTAGCAATTCAAGAAGCAATCTTGGAGAAATGCAGTGATAATGATGGAATTGTTCATATTGCTGTAGACAAAAATTCACGTGAGGTGAGTGTCTTTCCAGTAACATCTTAGCACTTTGTTCATCCGTTTCAGCTGGACTTGCAAAAACCCCAAACTCCTCTCTCTCTTACTTAGGGCTGTGTATATGTCAAGTGTCTCTCCCCGGAGTATGCTGGAAAGGCTTTCAAGGCATTACATGGCTCTTGGTTTGACGGTAAGGAGTGGGAGTTTGTAACAAAATGGGTAGAAATTACCTGTGGGTGCAGTTGGAGTTCTTTTAAATGGTGAAATATTTTTTATCTAAATTATTGAGTAGTAAAAAAACTGGTTAACTAATTTTGATGTTATGACATATTTGTGTTTTACATCTTGAAGCAAAATGCAATAATACTGAACTAGAAGGTTTCTCTTTTCCTATTTCTTTGCCTAATAGGAAAGCTGGTAACAGTAAAATACCTGCGACTAGATCGGTATCATCATCGCTTTCCCCAGGCTCTTACTAGTAACACTCCACTGAAGCCATCAAACAAACACATGAACTCTATGTCACATCTGCGTCTTCGGACAGGCACAACTAATTCTCAGGGAAGTTCCTGAGAAAACGTTCTGCAATTGCTAGGACTGTTACTTGCAACAGGAATGTTCCTGTTTGGCTGCCGTCTTCCTTTTTTAGTGCTTTTTGTATGTAATACTTTAAAGAATTAAATAAAAGTTTGAACGTTCCAGAAGTCTTGTTTCCAAAGGGACTTAGCAATGAGGCAGTAATACTGAGCTGACAAAAAAGAAAAAAAGTTGCTTCATGAAGTTTTCTGGGGCTACAGTAAACCGATGTGTTTAAGTTTTGCATGAGGAATACTGATTTCATTATACATTTGCAGATGTGGTGATGTATTTTTGCACCGAGAAGTGTTTTTGATAATACAAAAGCATGGAGAAAAGAAGACTTCCTGTATTTCCATAGTTTCCTGTGAAATAATCTTGTGGGTATTTTGTAACAAGCAACCTACAGTTCCTGATGGTGAATAAGTTAAAAAAAAAAATCAGTCAATATAAGTTTATTGTTGCTGTATAAGAATCTTTTTCTGCAGCTGGGGTGTGGGGAAAGTGAATTTGGCATTAGTGGTTGCATATCAATGTGAGGGAAGATGAACTGATTGTGGATGTACTGGGTTTTGTATATAAATGTAAATGCTGGTGGTGGCAAAAAGGGTTGTGTTCTGTGAGGATGTCTGCATTGAAGCAGCAAATAAGCTCCCTATTTTATTCAAAACCTATTGTTTTATATGGTTTTGGCTGTACCATGACAAGAGGCCAAACACCTAAAAGTGTTGGATACAGGTTAAATATCTTTTATAGGTTTTATATAAAATATCTGACTGATTTTGTGTGAAAGGTCTGATTCCAATTGTAATGAATTCAAATTTGTTAGCAATAAAGAAGCAATTGGCAGATACTGGAAAAATATTTTGTGAAAAGCTGTATTTATTATACAAGTATCGAGGCTGTGACAAAATACCATTGGATTAAGTGACATTCCCAGTACATTGTAACATGTTTTAATGAACCATTTATCTGTTAAAATTTTAAAAGGTACATACCTCCTTGCAACAATTTTGGCTCATGCAAACTAGTGCAGGTGACAGTAAAGCTTGTAAATTTACTAATGTTTACCTAGAAGTACAAAATTGTTGCTGAGAAGCTTAGTTGCAAATCTAAGATTATTGGCTTTACTAATCCCCACTCCTACAACAATTTTACCTAGTCATCCAACTGAATATCCTGTAGGAGGTGGGACTGGAAGCACACCAGTCCCACAAATTTTACTGAAACTTACTTTACTTTGTACATATGATAGATTTGCAGCATGAACTTGCACAAATAATGCACGTTTTTCTTACAGTTAAGTAAACATGATGCACACTATTCTGCAACAGGAAATCCTATTGTGCCTTACCTTTGTGCTTTTGTGGGCACCATGTTTATTATTGGAGAGTTTGTTAATCAAAAAATTTTAAATCTTCGGTTTTACGTCTCAGATGCTAATGGATGAGTATATATAATATATAATCAGCCATGCAGAATTCTACTTACCAAGGACAAGTACATATTTTTGATGGGTAAGTGGATTGTGCCAGGTCTGGTAGATTTTTGATGAGTTTTATTATATACATATATGTATATGTATAATATACATGTAGATGTATTATATATATGTATATAAACTAATTTTGTTGTATTTGATGTGCATCTTAGTGATTTGTTTACCTGACCTTAGTGACTCCATCTTGTGACCTGTTGCAAGAGTGAATGTAAAAATAGATGTGGCATTTTGAAAGGTTGCCTCGATGCAAATGCGTCTATCTTGCTTCTAAGAGATATTTCTTGTAAACACTGTACATTTTAATTGTAATATGTACTATTATGCAGCTTATTTTACCTTAAACTGTTAAGTTGACTGATATCCCTTCCTGCAAGACAGGGGAATATGTATAATATCTGAACATTTGAGAAAAATCAGATGTTTGTTGTAACTTGTCATCCTATCCTGTAAAAACAGACAAAAAACCAAACCAGACTCGAATTAAAGGTTTATTAGGGTTTTTACATGTGTCTCACCTTCTAGATTTGGGTGTCTCTTTTCTCATCTGGGGGCAGAGGGAGAGATTCATTTGTTACAGCCACCTACCTAATTTTTTGGTATTTGTTAGGATGTGAACTGATGCTCCTATGAGCTGACACACAGAGCCACGTTTCATTTAACTGTCAGCTTGACTTTTGTCTTGATTTTGTACACAGGGAGTGCAGAGACATACCTTGATTCCTAAGCCGTGGACATGCCATGTTGTCTCCCCTGTTAAAGGACAGACCTGAAGAACCTTAACCTTGTGCTTTCAGCTTCTTTCTTGTATTTTGAGATACAAAGAGTCATCAAAGGGCTTTTGATAGACTAACAGAAGAGATTGGATTTTTTTTCCTGTCATTATCTTATGCTGTTTTAGTGACAGGTTGAAGATTTGGCGGATAGGAGGAACAAAGAAGGGTATGTAAGTCCATTTTTTACATTCATTTGTCCCGCATACATATACGTGTCCCGTAGGGAAGGGGAGCAGGAGGATAAAGTTGCTCGATGTTCTCTCCTTTTTGTGAGCCGGGCACCGTGGGCATTGAGCGCTGTTGTAGTTTCGCGGCCGGTGCTAGTCAGGAGCTGGCTCCGGGTGAGAGCCGTGGGCTGGAGCCGCTGCGGCGCTGACAGCGCAGCCCCCGCTCACGGCCGGCGTCGCGCAGACAGCTGAGGGTCACGGCAAGGCTGTCTCCGCTCGGCTACTGCACTCCGGCCGGGGCTCTCCTTGGAACTGCAGAAGCGTCTCTATAAAAAGACGAGGAGCCCCTTCGTCGGCCTGCCCGAAGCGCACCTTTTAACCGTTTAGGACAGGGTACTATGGCCGTGTCGCGGCGGCGGGATGGGGTAGGGTCCCGGCCGCCTGCCCGTGCTGCCCGGTCGTGCCGGGCGTGCGGCGGGAGTCTCCTGGCTCCATGTTCATATTTGGCCTTGGCCTCCGGTGCCCAGGAATTTCCCGTCATGCTCCCCGAGCGGCGGGCCCGTCACTGCGCTCCCACGGGGCGGGGGGGGCCGGGGCCGCTCGCTCGCTCCCTCGGGCCGCTCCCATGCGTGCTGCGCCGCCGCCGCTGCTCCCCGCGCTCTGCCTGGCGCTGGCGGCCGCCGCAGGAGCCGCAGGTAGGAACCACAGGTAGGAGCTGCTCCCAGCCCCCGCATCCATACCGCCGGCCCCCGCTGCCGTGCTGCGGGGAGGGCGGGTCGGGGACTGCGGAGGGGGCGAGGGGAGGGGCGGCCCCGGCGGCGCGGGGGCCGGGCCGGGCCGCACCTGCCAGGGCTGCGGCGGGAGCGGAGGGGAGCGGGTCGGCACTGAGGGGGACCTCGTGGGCCCTGCTGGCGGCCGAGAGCGGGGCTCGAGTCGAGGGTCGCTCTGGTCGGTCCCCGTGTCAAGGAGCGCTCCTCATCCCCCCATCCCGGCCTCATCCTGGCTGTGCCGTTGCTGTGGCCGCCGCAGCGCCTGGACCCTGGCGCGGCGCAGCTCCTGGCTCCGGGCGTCCTGCGCTGTAGCTGGAGCTCCTGGCTCAAACGGGGTGTGCAGCGGAATAGCTGATTCGGGCAGGGAAACCGCGCTTGACCGAGTGCATAATAAGTTCAGTTCAGCCACGATCCCCCAGCTTGGTAAATGGTGCAGCGCTGGGTCAAAAAAGTAGCTTAAACTCCACAAATGAGCTCATAATTTAGTGGAGTTTTTCTAAGGAAGCTTAGTGACGAATTAGCTATAAATGCTGTCTTTCCTCTTGAGCTGAATTTTCAGTCATCACCCTCTTAGCACAAAGACTGTCTGAAAGCACAGTGATCTTAAACAAGCATAGCTGTGTATTAAAAATGCCAAATCTAACACTAGTTATCTGCAGATAAGGCCGGATGTCAACTGTTACCTAGTGATAAATGCTGTAAGGCAGTCTCTGTAAGTGTTCGGAGCCTAAACACAGCATTTAGGAAAGTATAGAATATGTCATGCTTTTAGCTCTTTCTCTGTTGTTACTATTAAAAAGGTTCTGAAGATGCGCTCTGTGGACAGATAGAAGTCAGAATGAGAAATCTGCAATAGCCAGATACTTTGCCTTACTGGTACGGCTTGCTTATATAAGGCAAGTCACCTGTAAATGGAACAGCCATCTCCACTGCCACTATGGCACATCTGAATCCAGAATTTAATGCTTAGAATTTGTCCTGCTTATGTTCTTGCCCTTGCTGAGTAGACACAAGTGCTTTCTGTCTTATTTGCTGATGATTCCCAACTTTCTGTTACGTTGCTGCATGCCTTTGCAGTTCGTCATGATTCTTTGTCTGCCAAATTTGGTTGAGTCTGATTCTGGGAGTAGTTTCCAGTGGCTTGTCATCTTAATCAGACGTTTGCTCATAGTTTATAAAAGAATCGCCTGCCTTGCTTTAGATGTGGCTTATTTTAGAACAGTATTTCTCAACCATCTTTTAAAATTTATGTAGGGAATTAAATATGGTTAGCAGCTTAACCAGAATTACTAAGTAATCCTAGAATTCTGAGATTAAAAAATGATTTTTTAAAAACCTAAAACTCTGCACTGCCTTGTTAAAACCAGTAGAATTAGTGGAGTTCAACAATATATAGTTCAGTCCAGAATGCGGTTGGTTGGTCCTTTTCCCATCTGATGTACCTTGTATCTTAATAATACGCATTTTGCAAGATCTTTTAGGAAGAAAAAACAATTCTATTTTTCTTCCAAAAGAGCAATCTTTGAAAATAGGGCCTTTGTAGATGGGGGGTAATGTTTCTATATTTGGTAGCAAAGCCATATAAAGCAGTTGATCCTAGACAAAAATAAAGTTTTTTGACTGAACGACCTTGCTCAATTTTCCAAGTGGTAGCAGTTACATACTCTCGGAGGGGTTAGTTAATTCGGATGTTTATGGCAGTACATACTGCAAGAATTTCTTATTTTTTATTTGTACATACCATAAGAATTCCTTACAGCTGTTTGGTAAGGGCCAGCTTGTACGGTGAGGGAGATAATTGGTCCTTTGCCCTGTTATTTATGAAGATATGGAAATATCTTTCTTACCTACTCATGTTTTGTCAGCTTTGTAAGCTGATACTTGTTTCTGTATCATTGGAGATCCAGCCTATTTATTACATTAGAAATGCTAGAAAACGGAATTTCTCTATTAGGCGGATTGTTAATGGTTCTTTTGTTATTTACTTTAAAAGATGGGGTAATAAGAGTCAGTAGGGGGAGAGAAGAGAACACTCTTAATTTTATCTTCTCAGACAGAAGGCTAAGAAGTCTGCCTGTCTGCATCTGGCTGGCATTGCTACAAGTCAGCAATGCAGTAAAGCCATCCAATTTAGAGATAGCTTTGTTGAACTGCGTAATTCAAGTGAGTGTGTCCTCATTACAGAGCAACTCTTAAACTACATGCAGCATTATATTAGTCATAGGTAGGGAGTATGACCTGCTTTTTCCCTTCCTATTATTTTTTGTCAAGAGCTGGAGTTTGAGCAGCACCCAGGCTACGTATGAACTTAAGCTATGGAGGCTTTAACTGATAGGAAAGTGGGATAAACATCGGCCTAATTATAGCTGGATGGCTCTAGTTTAAGGGTCCCTTAGCCAAAAGGCCCCCACTAAAATGGACCCTCAAATTCTTGGTGTGTTTATGATGTTGTAATTAGGAATTACTGTCAAATAAGGTCAGGTGTGGATTTACCTTTCCCTGAGTAACTCTGAAGTTGGTTTGCTTATTTTGGACCAAACTACAAGGCTAGACAGAAATACGGTGTTTCTTGCTCAGGAGTAATCATGTCCATACATGGAGTTATTTCAAGGTTACTTTCTCCACACAAGACAGAGGTCTTTTAATCAGAACAACAAAAAATTTGAGAGCTTTTGGGGCTTTTTTTTTTTTTTTTTTTATGTCTCATAGATTAAAAAGTGGCTACAAGTTAACTTTCCCTTCCCTTACTGACCTTGCTTCGGTAGGATTTATTGTTATCTTTTCAGAGTCTTCATTTCATTCAGAAGGATCTTTGGTTCTCAGTAAGGTATTAAAATGTACTAGCTTAAAAAAAACAACCCTACAAAACTAAAGATTTAAGTCCTTCTCTGTGGCAATTTGTGAATGTATAACCAACTATCAGTGTTTTTAAAGTAATTTTCAACTAACCACTTAAAAGGAAGGAAACACATACTGCATTATTAACTTCTACCTGAAATTGAAGAATGTCATTGTGTATTTTAACAGGGGGTTTTGTGTCTTAAGTCTGTGAAGATTCTGATCCGTATTTTTTGCATGAAAATAGGGTAGAAGAATTCTTTGGGAACCCCATTTACGGTGAGGTAATTGGAAATTATAATTTACCTGCTTAGCTCCAACCTTCTGGTTCTCATTTAGCAACCTCGATTCAGCATTATCTGAAAACCACACAATCTAGCAACTGGAACTGGGAATAAAGAGGCTTTTTGCAATACAGGCTTTAAGATCTGAGGAATTGAATGATACTAACCCAAAACAGGCAAGAACAATACTTACAGTTATAAGGTGGTAACACAGTTTTACTGTCTTCATAGACTTATAGTTTAGCGTTGCTTTGTAATATAATTAATAGCATATGTACTTCTTTATTTCCAGAAAGTTTTGGATTTAAACATGATTGAGGTTTTGAGTGTTGCACAGACAAAGTTTAAGGACAGAACTTCTGCAGAGGTCCCCAGTTCGCTTTTTCCTTTCAGTAGCATCTGGACATCAGGATTGATGATTTCCTTGAACTGTGGACAGCAGCTTAGCAAAATGTGCATAGTGTGCTAACACACTGTTTTGTTGGGAAGTGTTACCTCATCCAATAAATTTTAAGAGTAATGCCATGCATGGCATTTGGACGTATCTCCCCACGGGTCTCTAACTCTGTGATATTCCAAAAGAGGACAACGCCCTTGCTTTTCACCTGATGGAAAACAAATCCCACTACCAGGCAATAACAATAGCACTAATGGAATGTAGCTGCGAAATGCCACCACTTTCACTCTCACCACACAATGAAAATGGAAAAAAAATTAAACACGTGGAACCTTAGCAGCTTCCTGAGGAAGTGATCTGTGCCAGTCGTTGCCAAAAGGAAACAGGTCACTAAGTGTTCCTCCTGGCTGAGGGATTGCCCTGTTCTTGTTCATCTCCATTCCCCAGTGTGTGGCTCTCAGAGAAATCTGCAGGCAAGGCTGTTCCAGCTGCCTGCACAGAGAGTGTGTGTGATTTAACAACTTCGAGGATCTTCAAGGTGGGTTGGTGGGTGGCAGCCTCATGGATGTCTCTCTCAGTTCATGCAGCACAGTGAGTCTGGCCTTGGCTTTCCTGCAGCTGGTCCAAGAGCAAGAATTGGCTTGATATAAAATTACTGAGTTGGCTAAGAAAAATGGTTGAATATACAAGCAGGCTTTGCCACCTGGGTCAGATTGTCACCATCCTGCTGCTTGATATTAAATATAAAGCCAATGCAGATCCATCCTAATATGTCCTGATGATGAACAGTGAGAGCTTACACTCAGTTCAAGTCGAATTTGTACTAATGAGTGATTCAGTAGTGCACTGATCCAGTCTGCATAATGCTGAAACCAAGGCTTGCAGATCAGATTGGTTGGGCTTCTACTCCTGCACACCGACAGCACTGTGAGTAGCCAAAATACAAGTGTGAGAGAGAGATGTGAATAAGACAAGAGCAGATGCTTTGGCTGCCAGCTCAGGGACAGGTGGAAAAGTAGAGGTGAATCAGTCAACTATGTGAAGTTACAGCCCTGAGATGTAAATACAGAAACTCCACAAATAAAATGATTTGGGTTTTCTATAGTGTTATCATCTCTGGTTTTCAATGGCTGCAGAAAAGGAAAACCAGCCCTGTTGGTCAAAGCCTTAATATTTAACTGCTATGTACTTTTAGACTCTATCTTTATTTTTTTTCCTTTTTTTTTCCCAGAATTAAAATCAGTGCTTCATCAGATCTTGTGTGTACACGGTGGAAAAATATACTGTGCTGACAGCACACCTCTTAACATCTCTTTTCATGAGAGAAATCAAATTGTCTGTTGTCATGAATGATGTTCTCTTTGTCCAATTTATCAAACATCAAGATTAAATTTAGCAGAAAAATT